TGGCTTGTGGTGACGTGAAGTCATGTGACCATGCTGTAGTTCACTTTATAGCCCAACATTAGCCTCCTTTAGCTTAGCGGTGGTGACGTGAAGTCATGTGACGTGCTGTAGTTCCTTTATAGCCCAACATTAGCCACCTTTAGCTTAGCGGTGGTGACGTGAAGTCATGTGACCGTGCTGTAGTTCCTTTTCTCTTCTTCCTCTCCCTGTCTCACCCTACTCTTCCCCTCCCTCTGTCTCACCCTCCTCTTCCTCTCCCTGTCTCACCCTCCTCTTCCTCTCCCTGTCTCACCCTCCTCTTCCTCTCCCTCTGTCTCACCCTCCTCTTCCCCTCCCTCTGTCTCACCCTCCTATTCCTCTCCCCAGCTGTCTCACCATCCTCTTCCTCCCCAGCTGTCTCACCCTCCTCTTCCTCTCTCTGTCGACCCAACCCAGATTTTCTGCCTCTGACTGTTGTCTTCCTCCTTCTTGTTTCCTAGCAACTGAACTGACATGCCCCTATTTTCTGTCGCCATAACCCTACATCTCGTGCATTATAAATCATCAGAGTTACGGTCTGTCGTCTCTAAATGTGTTTCTGCACGTCTAGAGCAACAGTTGGTCTGTGAAGGGAGCGCTGCATTTATCCACCTGATGCTGAAACAAACACTGATTATTAAACGGCTGACTGAAACAATACATTCATTTAAGTATGACAATACGACACCCTCTGTCCTTAGACAATCACATCGTACAAGGAAAAACGTCCAAAAAGGAAAAACCCCAGAGTTTAAAGGGAACATGGGAGAAACCTCAGGGAGAGCAACAGAGGAGGGATCCCTCTCCCCGGACGGACAGACGTGCAATAGATGCCGTGTGTAAATCAAAGAGATAATACATTTTACAGCATAGGTAGACCAAATGTTTGGAAATGCATGTGTCTATAATAAGAAGATGAATCCACGAGAATGTCAACACCCTCACACATACACGTCCATGCAACCCTCACCCTGCATTTACACTACTGATACCACTGACGCCCACACCTCATGCTTTACTCATTTGCACTTCTTTAATTTGGTTCATTTGAATTATTTACTTAAATAAACATCTTTTATTAACCGTTGATATGATGCGTCTCCCACTTTGTTGTGGCGCTTTGAGCCAGGTCATAACAACAGCTTCTGAGCTCCAAAGGAAATTAAGCAGGAGATAAAAAACTGCACTATGTTGATGCAATGCTAACATAAGCTAGCAGTTTTTATACCCTAATAATATCATAAATAATGATATAAATAATTGTTATTATTATCACACATATTAAATAAATGAAGAACTAAATAGGTAAAAAATATTCTAATAATAATATAAATAGTACAGTTATTATAATACAAAAGATTACAAAAATAATTAAAGTGGACCTATCATGCTATATTTAAATGATATATTGTAGGGCCATACCTATATAAGGTATATTTATACGTTTCTGTTTTCAAAATACCAAACAGATCATGCATTCTAGCCATGCCTCATTTCGCTCTATGTGCTGTTTGCTGTCTACGGGTCTGATTCTGCTGACCACGCCCCCCTGCAGGAGAGGGGAGACGTGCTCTGATCAGCTGCTGGGCTGTCAGAAGAGGGGGAGAAAAAGAGATCTCCGTCCTCCGATGTTTTATTATATAGAGTTTCGTTTTTTTTTAAAGCTCAATAAATAACAAAGAAGACCTTTGACCGGCACTTTTCAAATTTTGTCCGGAAGATTTAAACTTTAACGGACATGTTGAAAGTAACTGAAACTGAAACTCTGCCGCACGTTCCCCTCGTTCCTTGGAAGAGGCGGAGAGGTGGGTGTTTGTCATCTGCTGGTGGACTAACCGGAGAGAATTACAGTGCTTGCCTCGACGGGGAGGGATTGCATTGAATTAAAGCAGCGGGAGCAAACGCTTGCCTCGGGGAGGGAGAAAGAAAGCCGCAGCGAGAGATAATAAACAGAAGGGTAACCATGGTAACTATGGGCGGGAAGTCTTCTTCGCTGCTTTTGTGGCAGACTACAGCGCCACTTACAGGCCTGGCATATGTACTACAGAGTCTCCAGCGCTTTCGAGCGGCAATGGCCGGCCGTGGCCCAACCCCACATTCCCCTGATAGGTGGAGAGTTGGCCCAATAGCCGTAGCGCCACCGTCCTGACGTCAGGACAGTGTTCAAATCTGGATCAGTTTTTTATCAGATCCGTTGCAGCCCCTTTTTTAGAGATTTGGGTATGGAGGAAAATAGAGAGGGTTGTGTTTTCTGACACTTGGTGAGTTCCCTGGAACACCGGGGACACATATTCATGTAGAAAAGACGTACAAAAGTGCATTTTGCATGATAGGTCCCCTTAAGTAAGTAAAATAAAATTATAAATATAATAATAATAATAATAATAATAACAAAAAAGTAATAAATACATAAATAAATAAGTTAGTACAATAAAATAATAATTAAAACAATAATAATAATAATAATAATAATAATACTAAAAATGTAATAAATAAATCAGTAAGTCAAATAAAAATAAAATAATAATATAAATCCAATTGGAAGGTGTAAATTATTCTGAAATAGCTTTTACCTTTCATAATAGACTGATTCTTGATGTTTTAATTATTTAAAATGTTGAATATAATTGGGGTAACACCATACATTTACATTTGGATTAATAATTGGTATTTATTGTAAGCTATGTCACACACCATACCAATGATTCAGAAAACTGTGAGAACATCTAAATGAAGAATTAAGTCATAAAAGACATCATTAAACAGTAAATGAAGAAATTAATTGTGCCAAGAAAACTAAAAACCGTGGTGAGTTCAAGCTGTTTCAATGTTCCTCCATCATCATTGATATGTGATGCTGCGTAGAGTTACACGGTGTTTCCTAACATCTCATTCTGCATCATCATCTTTGAATGAACACAGAGACACACACACACACACACACACACACACACACACACACACACACACACACACACACACACACACACACACACACACACACACACACACACACACACACACACACGATTACTGAGCAGGTACCTCCATCTAGTGACAAACAGGGGTACTGCATTACTACTAATGATTCATTCATATTAAGGTGGGAGAAGTACACAGATCTTGGACTTGAGTAAAAGTAGAAGTACTCAGATCTTGTACTTGAGTAAAAGTAGAAGTACACAGATCTTGTACTTGAGTAAAAGTAGAAGTACTCAGATCTTGTACTTGAGTAAAAGTAGAAGTACACAGATCTTGTACTTGAGTAAAAGTAGAAGTACTCAGATCTTGTACTTGAGTAAAAGTAGAAGTACACAGATCTTGTACTTGAGTAAAAGTAGAAGTACTCAGATCTTGTACTTGAGTAAAAGTAGAAGTACTCAGATCTTGTACTTGAGTAAAAGTAGAAGTACTCAGGTCTTGTAGTAAAAGTAGAAGTACTCAGATCTCGTAGAAGTACTCAGATCTTGTACTTGAGTAAAAGTAGAAGTACCAGAGTGTAGGAATACTCTGTTACAGTAAAAGTCCTGCATTCAAAATGTTACTCAAGTAAAAGTAGAAAAGTATTCTCATCAAAATATAGTTAAAGTAGCGACAGTAAAAGTAGTCATTGTGCAGATTGGTCCATTTCAGAATAATATATATGATATGTTTTATAATGATTGATCATGAAAGTGTTCTCAAAGCTGGTAAAGGTGCAGCTAGTTTGAATGACTTTGTATACTGCAGGGTAGCTTGTGGATTTACTCCAGGTGGAACTAAAGTCTGATTTAACACTTGATTTATTTCACATCATTCATCCACATCTGTGAAGTAACTAAAGGTATTAAATACATGTAGTAGAGGAAAAGTACAAGGTAGCATAAAATGGAAATACTCAAGTAAAAGTACATGTATCTCTAAATTGTATTTAAGTACAATACTTGAGTAAATCTACTTAGTACACCTCTGCAATAAAAGCCTTTTCTATACAGTAGGGCTACAGTCGTCACATTTCATATAAAAGATGTATAGTTATCATTACATCAGTTAAAAAGTAGGTTTGGCAGAATAAAACACCTTCAAATGTATAACTCTATTTCACATTGAGGTGATTTGGGGAATGTCTCAGGACTCACTGCATGGTCATTGGTTTTGGGGGGCTTTCTGACTCCATGGTGCAAAGCCTATTGGAATCCTAATGATGTGAATCCATCATAACACGCAGCAGGTGTGTACATCAGGAAAAGCCTGCGTAAGCGTTTCCCAGTGACTGATTGGTGCTGCAGGATTTACCCTTAAATTAACCCATCCATTAGACCATATATCTCCAGCTTAGAATTAGAGTTAATGAAAAAGCTGTTAATAATAAAAACTGTCAGCGCGACCGATCAATACTGTCAGCAGGAGGTGATCAGTTATTACAGGAGCAGGAGCAGGCTGCAGGCGGCAGTCTCACCCTCCTCTTCCTCTCCCTCTGTCTCACCCTCCTCTTCCTCTCCCTCTGTCTCACCATCCTCTTCCTCTCCCTCTGTAAAATATAACAACAGGTGACCAACTAGTAAAAGTAAGAAAGACTAAATAAATAAATAAACTAACAATAAAAATGAATAAAACAACACCGAGGGTCAAATCAATTACTATTTAAAAACTAAATAAATACATGTTTTCAGCTGTGGTTTTTAAAATGTCCGCTCTCTAATATTCCTCATAGGGTGTCTCAGAGTTGGGGAAGTGGATAACAGCTGCTTCCCTAATCTTATTTGGGGAGTCTTTTGGAATACTTTACTCTGGTTTCTAACACCGTCCCTGCAGCTGCTCATTGGGTACGCTTGATTCCCCCACCTCCACATGGCCACTTCATTACCTAATGGCTTCTTAAGTGGCAGCTGCTCTGATGTGAAACACACTTTGGAGAATGAAGCGTGCAGAGAAGACTGAGGATAATGAATATCCTCCGCAGGATAACAACACACTACTTAAGTAAATGTGCTTTCCAACAATGCTTTGCACGTACTACTTTAAAGGCAGATGAGTGTCTCTTGGCGTAAGAAGTGGAATTCTTTGCCGAATTATTTAAAGGGCTGTAAGATCATTTCTATGTTAAAAGAAATGTATAAAGAAAGCGTAATGAGACAGTATGAAGTTGACTTTTGATTGTGTTAAAATAAGATCTTCTCCCTGCTCCTTTCCACCATGCGCTATAAAAAAGAAAACAGTATAAGTGTACATGTTTTGTTTTAAAATAACTGCCATGTGTGGAATAAACAAATGAACACCATGCGTGATCCTGTCAGTGACTGTTTCTCTGCAGCTCCACTAGATGTCACACACACAGCACTGCTGGATATTGATGAGGACTCAGTTTGCTTACCCAGCATCCTTCACCCCCCATTTGTCAGAAATATTCCCCTCCTGGAGCAACATAAGTCACCCTGCTGCAACATCTACTCCATCTGGTTTCACTGGGGGGGAATACACTTGATGAATATCTCTC